TTTTCCCAACTGAAAGGTGCCCTGGCGGCAGGCCCAGTGCCCAGGGCGAGGGCGCACAGCAGCATCACTGGCCAGGAGCTGTACCAGGAGCCCCACCCTCTGGCTGCCCACACTGTACCCCCGCATGCTGAGGTGCCCCCAGCATGCGTTGCTGGTAACAGTGTAAGTACCAAAGCCTACACAGAACTCACTTTTTAAAAATGAGTAGCTAGAGCAAAGTTAGGGTTATCTCCATAATGTTGTCCCCCGTCACCCTGTACCCAGACAGATGTCCCTGAGTGGAAAAAGGTGGGAATTACAGCTCAGATGAGCAAACCTAACTCTGCTACAGCCCACAGGAATCAGCCACTACAAAATAACCGTGCTTAATACTTCAGATTTACCATAGTTATTGTTTTTCCTGGGGAAAAAAAATGACAATTTCCTAAAATCTCTAAAGGGTTAGCTTCCTTGCCCCTGTGCCTGAAAACACTTCATGAATACAATATTAAAATCAACTTTATTTCCCCACCAAGTGCTTTGACTGTTATAAAATGAATGTGTTACATGGTCTACACAGGCATCTATATACACACATCCATAATGCACGAGTGTACACACACAGAAACGCAGTGAGCGTGTGAATGTCATCCTTTAAAAACGTCCTGGCGGGAGAAACAGGGGACCACCTGGCCGCGCTGAGCCGCCAGCAAGTTCACCGAAGTAGTCCAACCACAAAAGACACAAACACAGGGCGGTCCCTGCTGGGAATGCGTGACAGGTCCCCGGAAGACAGGCAACCGGCCACAGCCTTTCCTCAAGAGAAGCTCACAGACTAGCTCCCTGATTTCATCAGGATATTAATGGCCCTTCGACTACCAGGCCTTTCGGCTTAAAACGCGAACAGAAAGCCCGTGGGTGTCCAGGTGTAAGGTGGGCGAGCTCCCTGGGAAGGCCTGAGACCGACAGAACGTGAGCCGCAGAGCCCTGGGCACGGGATGCTTCTGAACGTGCAGGGCAGAGCTGCCGACGCGCAGCCTGGGCCTGCAAGTGCAGGGCACCCTTATTTTCAGGAATTGGGCGTACCAAAAAAGTGTTAATCCTAGGGAAGGTGATAAAGAACACCTGCATCGTTTATAAAAACCCATTCACGTACCTCGGCCTTCTTTTGGTGGATGGATGCGGGGAAAGGCTGGAAACAAAAAACACAACAAAACAAAACGGAAACCCGCGCACCTTCCAGTCGGAGGGAGAGAGACAGCAGAAGATTCACCCACTAGAAAGCGCCAGGTGTCGAAGAGCAGAGAGCCGACGTGCCGGTTTGGCCGAGCCCTGTGCGCCACGCTGTGTGCCACGGGGCTGAGGGGCTTGCTGCGTCAGAACAGGCAAGCAGACACGCAAACGAAACTTACTTATTGCTTACTTCAAATAACCTAAGATCATAGGACTAAAAGGACTCTCAGAGGGTTCCTTCAGCCCAGTTTCTGTATCCAAGCAAGACCGGCACTGAGTCACTTCATGCAGACGACGTCCGCCCGTTCTAAAGACCAATCGGCCAGGCGGGACTCAGTCCTGCCCCGGCAAACCCAACCCAAAGCGTGAGCCTGAGCCTGTGTCCACACAGGTGCCAACAAAACTCAGGTCTACAGGGCATTTTTTAAAAAGACTTTATTCACTGACTTTTAGAGAGAGGGGAAGGAAGGGAGAAAGAGAGAGAGAGAAACATCAATGTGTGGTTACCTCTCCCATGGCCCCAACTGGGGACCTGGCCCACAACCCAGGCCTGTGCCCTGACTGGGGATCAAACTGGAGACCTTTTGGTTCGCAGGCTGGCGCTCAGTCCACTGAGCCACACCAGCCAGAGCTACAGGGAATTTACAGAAGGGCTTGAACAGGTCTGGGAGAGGCTGGAGGTCAGTACTCCGGGGGGCTGTCAAAACTCTTTGCCCAAGGAGAAAATCCAAAGAAGAAAAATAATCAGCCATTTTAACTTTAAAGTGTTCCGTCATTAACAATCAGAATTTCAACTGGGAGTTTACAGAATTTATCAAGACCGGTCTGTTCACCGATCTCCAGCCAGAGGACATTCCGACATTACAGAGCAATGACCCCAGTACTACCGTCGGAGCTGCCGGGTGGGTTTCTGGGAGGGGCAAGCGGACTGAAGGGGCACGAGAACAGGCAGCGTCACTACCTGGGCAGAATCAAGGGGATGGATGGCTACGGACACCAACGTCATTTAGAAACGACAAGACCATAGTTCTCCGCACCAAATCACAAGCCTGTTTTTGTGGCCAGGGGAGGGCAGGAAGGAAAATTGGGCCCTCCTTCCCAATCAAGTAAAGCCACACGGGGACCCGCCTCCTGTCAACGTCAACAGAGGCTCTTCTACGGCAACTCGCTGTTTAACAGGGAGGAAGTATTCCAAAGTGGTCATCTAGTTCTAGACACAAAGAATAAGAGCATTTCCCTCTAGCATCTCATGCTTAGCCCTTTACTGTAGGGAGCGGGCAGCTCCCATTGAGTTTTGCACTCAGCTAAACACAAAAACAGAAACAGCCTAGCAGGGTGCTCCCTCGGCACCGACATATCCCGTTCTTCAAGGCCTGGCTCTGCGCTCCACAAAAACCACCCCCAAACACTCCTCACCCCACTCTTCCGTCTCTGAACACCAAGGGTTGCGTCAGGCTCCAAGCCAGGCAATTCTGCACCAAATTATATATGATTTTGTACCATTTGCTAAAATTATATACAGCCTTGTGCTGTTTGCTAATTGTTTCAGGTATACAAATGCCTTTCTCCCCCAAATAAAATATATCAATTATTTGAGAAGGCTTACAGTTTTATTCTTCAATCGTCTGTCCCGTCAGGAAACAGCTAACACACTTGGCAGGAGAGACCCTCTGGAAGGGTGACGGGGGCTGAGTGCCTCGAGGCTCCAGTGGGCGTGGGGGGAGGGGCCTGCTACCCATGCTTCTCCAGCACCTGGTGACTCCCACAGGCCTGCTGCCAGCGCAGAGCAGCTTGTCCTGCACCCACAACTTGCCCCACGAGCCCCTGCTAGCCCCTTGGCGGCTCCTCTGCCTGGCACCTTCCCACCGCCACTCCCAAGGGGCAGAAGCAGCTCACACAAGACCATGCAGCTCGGCTGGTGCCCTCATTTAATCAGGCTGCTGCGAACGGCTGGCCAAAAGCAATAAGGGCATGACTGAGAGACTGTGGGAGTTTAATATAAAAAAATTAATAAAAAAAGGGGTCTACCTTTTAATAGGGCCCTAATTACCCAACTCATAGGATCAGCCCAAATGAGATGGGAGTTTATTTCGGGGTTTTTTTTAATTATTGTTTTTTATATATATATAAATTGCTGCTATGTGTTTTCTTTCCTCTGAGCAATTATGCAGCAAGTACGTAAAGAGGGGAAAAAATATTAATTAAATATAAGGTAATTGTAGCGTTGGCCTGGAGAGAATGAGTCTGAACTCTGGACAATCGCAGGCTACTAGGGCTTGAAGACCGCTCAGGGCCTCCCAGAAAAGAAAGAAATAAAAACACAGCCGCCGACCAGCAGACGCGGCAGGAAGAGAGCAGCGCAGAGGACCAGCAGCGGAGCAAACAGGCTGCAGGGCTCCGAACACCAGACATCAGCGAGGCCGCCCACGGCGGGGGCTCTGCTAGAAAGAACCTGCCGGAGTTCGTCCCGTCGTGCCCCCAAAATGGCCCGGCCACTCTTCTGGTGACCAACAGTTGAATCAAATCAAAATTTAAAGGAGACCGAGGAAATAAAGGACTGGAGAGGCCTGTCATGTTCAGTTTGGACATCAGTCCAAAACCAACCACAGCCTCAGCCCGAGGGGCACTGGGGCCAGCCGCGTGGGGAGCCCCGAGCTGCCTGTCTGCGAGACTGGCAGAGCGCAGTCTCCTCCAGCTTTCATGCCGCTGCCGCCTCCAGGGAGAACTCAGGCAAAACCAAAAGAGTAACCCGAAGCCACTACAGGGGGTGCGGGTGGGGGAAGTGAGCCGTGTGTGCCAACCGGTGACACGGACACAGCAGCACTCTCCTGAGACAGTCTGGCATGGCTCCCACCCCCTGATCTCACTGCAGCTCAGACACACCCACCTCCCCTTCCGCCCTGGAAAGCCTTGGAATGGGCAAGACTTCAGACTTGCTCACGCCAGCTCCCAGCCCCACATCACCCCCTCCCACTACTGCTGCCGGGGGGGGGGGGGGGGGGGGGGGACAGGCCCAAGGCAGGCTCCGCGGAAGCAAGAGCTCGGCAGCACGTCCCTGAGCTTGCTGTCAATATTCAAGGAGAGAAAAATCTCTGAAACCTAAAGCTGCCTCCTCCATAAAACGTGTCTGGTCTGTACAGAACAGGGCCCTCTCCCCGGAGAACAGGCCTGATGACAGGCCCAGAAATGCAAAATAGGATAAAAATGGGACAGGCAGGCAGGCAGGCAGGCCCCCTGGCTCAGACCCCCAGAGCAAGAGCACTTGGTCAACAAAATTACCCTCAGCACTCAGCAGGCCTCTCCCCACCAACAGTGTAGCGGGTACTGTTGGGAAACGACCATCACAAACCAAACCACTGACCAGGCGAAACAGGGCTCCCTCCCTGACCTGTCCCTCAAAGGCCACCTGAGGGGCTCTCACCCTTTGGGGAGGAGGACGGCCATTCCAGACCACCGAGCAGCAACTTGGTGAGACCGAGCAACCTCACCCCAACTCAGCCCCCGAAGGTTTCGGGCACCTCACTGATCAATAAACAATAAACCAGGTGGTGCATCACCACCTGCAGTGGGGCCTTCAGTTCCGGGAGAGCCGGGCTTTCCCGAAGAGACCTCACTGGTCCACTCTGGTCCTTAAGGCCAGAGAGTTGGAAGGCAGAGGTCACTGCTGTGGGCAGCCCCCACACAACCCCTCCTTTTAAAGGGACGTGACTGATGTAAAACTGTGGGTGTCCTGGAACTTACACTGCCTTTGAACCAGAAAGTGATCCACGTGTAACCTAGGTGCTTACCAGTGGCTCTCGGGGCATCGCATTCTCACTTCCCGGAGGAGAGCTGGGCTGCAAAGAAAAACAGAAACAAAAATAAGATCACAGTGCCACCCGATGGACATCAACACCTGAAGACATCCTACTCTCGAGCAACACACACGAAGCTCGTTTTCATGTTTCTCGCCGTTTTTCCTCACTGCAGAGTGTGCTGGGGGGGCTACCTGTAAGAAGCCCGGAGAGTCTAAAGCTGCGGGCGAACATGAAGAGACGCCTGGGTTCAATCCACTGTCAGCCCCTCAGGAAGGCTGGGATTCGCAGCGCCCAAGACCAGCCGCTGAGCAGCAAGCAGGGGCTGAGGGCCGTCACAAAATCCATGGAAATAGCAACATCCAGAGGAAAGGCTTGAAGCAAGAGCAAAACCTCCTTTTTGCCACCTCCCAGGTGTTGCCCAGAAAAAGCCGAGCTAAAGCGGAGAACCAGATCCAGCCACGAGAGGGCCCCACTTGCTCACACTCAGGATTTTCTCCAGGCAACGAACTACCTGCAGCCTGGAAGCAAGAACCATCTACCCTGGCTCCTACACTGGTCCCTGGGGACACTGACCCGCAGGGAAAAGAAAGCCCAGCTTAAATCCTTTTTTGAAAAACAAGCTAGTGATAGGCAGACAGATAAACAGACCCATCGGCAGGCAGGCCACACTGGGAGCCTCACCCGGGTCTAACCTGGTCTGCTTCCTTCTCCTCTGATCCCTCCCTCACCCCCACATCTGCCTTCAAGCCCTGGCTGCTCTTCCCAAAATTAAGAGAGAGGGAGAGACGGACAAAGACAGACAGCGACAGAAAGGCGTGGAGGAAATTTACAAATCTCCAAAAGGATAAGACAAGCAGTTTGAGAGAGTTATGTCTGGTTTACTGTTACTGATGTTCAAGCCAATTTCCAATTATCTACAGATAATATCCAGACAAGTGCAGCTCACGTGTGGGCCTCAGGAGCCAGTCCCTCCTCCACACTCCTTCCAGCCAGTTCAGATGGCCAGGCCTCCTAGGAAACCGAACAGGAGGCAGGGAAGGAAAGAGTCCAGAACACAGAGAGTCCCCAAGGTTTCCTTATGCCCAACTGTCACCACACAGCTGGCACACAGCACAGTGGCAAGGGCTTTTCCAGAATACGGACTCTATCTCCTCATCCACAGTCTTGTCTCAAGAGCCCCTTCCTGTCCTGGAACAAGACGGCCGGCATGGAACAAGACGGCCGGCATGGAACTCACCGGCAAGTCTCGGGGAACGTGTGCGTGCCTTCCCTCCTTCCCCGGACGTGGGCCCCCATAAGCTCCCTGCATCCAGATCTCCAGCCCAGACTCCCCTGAGTCCCATACCCAGCCACCTGCCTGCCCCTCTCGGACTTCAGTCCACAGGAGATTCACAATCCTCTCCCGCTGAGGGAACAGGACCACTTCCCACTGAAATATTCAAACGAGAACCCACAGGCCATGCCTGACGGTTCCTTCTGCCTCCCTCGCCAGAGCTGACACACTATCAAGGCCCGCCAGCGTTCCCTCCTAAATACCCACTCAATCAGCCCACCCACTTCTCTCCACAGCCAGTGCCAGCAGCACGGTCCACGCTTCCAAATCTCCTGCCCGGGCCACTCTGCAGTAGCTTCCTCCTCCGTTCGCCCACGCCCAGGCCGGCTCTCTCCCGGCTCATTTCCCCGCACCGCAGACGGACTACCATTTCAAATGAACGACTCTCTCACAGAAAAACTCCTGGACCAGGCCTGCACGGCCCTGCACCTGCTCTGACAACACCGCAGCCCCGCGTGGGGCCACACTCGCCAGCTCTGCCCACAGCAGACACGCTGGCCTTGGCCTCCTCTGTCAACTGGCCCTTTGCACATGCTGTTCCTTCCTTTCCCTCTGACAATCTAACTCGTCCTTCAGATCCCAACTCAGTCACTTCCTCCATGACAGGCACCCTACCGTCCAGACAGCCTAGACCTCTCCCTCTCCTGAAAACTGCAGTTTCACAGGGGGGATCAGGGCGCTGCCATGGCCCTCACTAGACTATAAACTTGAGAACAGTGCTTGCTCTTCACTGTACCCACGGGCAAGGATGGCTGCAGGCCCACACGAGGTCTTCCAGGGACACCTGGGGAAGGAACGAGGGGCGGTGAAGAGGACAGCAACGGTCCCAGCTCAACGGAAGGGACTACACACTAAAGCTGACCATCCTTCTGAGGCTTCCTTCACTCCAAATGGTAAATACTAAGTGCTAACATTTACTCAGCTCTTCCTTCACTTAATTCTTTTTTTTAATGATTTTTTAATTTTATTGATTATGCTGTTACAGTTGTTCTATTCCCCCTTTCATTCCCCTCCACCCTACCCCCCATCCCCACCATTACCCCCCCTTTAGTTTATGACCAAGTGTCTCAAGTCCTTTAGATTCTATATTTCCCATGCTATTCTTGCCCCCCCCCCTTCTATTTTCTATCTACTGTCTATGCTACTTATTTTCTGTACCTTCTCCCCCTTTCTCCTCCTCCCACTCCCCTGTTGCTAACCCTCCTTGAGATCTTCATTTCTATGTTTCCACTCCTGATCTAGCTGTCCTTTTAGTTTGCTTTCGTTTTAGGTGTGGTTGTTAATAACTGTGAGTTTGTTGTCCTTTCACTGTTCATGTTTCTTTAACTTCTTTTTCTTAGATAAGTCCCTTTAACATTTCATATAATAAGGGCTTGGTGATGATGAACTCCCTTGAATTTGATCTTATCTGAGAAGCACCTTATCTGTCCTTCCATTCTAAATGAAAGTTTTGCTGGATAGAGCAATCTTGGTTGTAGGTCTTTAGATTTCATGACTTGGAATACCTCTTTCCAGCCCCTTCTTGCCTGTAAGGTCTCTTTTGAGAAATCCGCTGACAGTCTGATGGGGACTCCTTTGTAGGTGACTGTCCCCTTAGCTCTTGCTGCTTCTAGGATTCTCTCCTTCACTTTAATTTTGGCTAATGTAATTATGATGTGCCTTGGTGTGTTCCTTCTTGGGTCCAACTTCTTTGGGACTCTCTGAGCTTCCTGGATTTCCTGGAAGTCTATTTCCTTTGCCAGATTGGGGAAATTCTCCTTTATTATTTGTTCATATAAGTTTTCCACTGGTGGCTGTGCCTTTCCCCTTTCTGGTACCCCTATAATTCGGATGTTGGAGCGTTTAAAGATGTCCTGGAGGTTCCTAAGACTCTCCTCATTTCTTTGAATTCTTGCTTCTTGACTCTTTTCTGTTTGGCCATTATTTCCTTTCTTCTGGTCCACTCTATTGATTTGAGTCCCAGTTTCCTTTTCATTGCTATTGGTGTCCTGTGCAATTCCATTCATTTCAATTAGTTTCGCCTTCATATGTTTGTCTAATTTGTACATAATCAACCAGTTCTGTGAGGATCCTGATGACCAGTGTTTTAAACTGTGCGTCTGAGAGTTTTGCTATTTCTTCATCGCTTAGATCTATAGGTTCTGGGGCTTTGAGATCTTCTTGCGACATTTTTGGTCTGTTCACGCCCTTTAAGTGTGAGAAGCAGCGCCTTGGACTCCCAGGTCGCTGGGTTGTGACACTGTATGTGGGGGCGTGGTCAGAGCGGGGAAATGGCGACCCCCTCTGCTGTTTCTCACAGCTGGGTGAGGATCAGCGCCTTACGTGGTTCACCTGGGCCGGGCCACTCAGAGTCGCTGGGTTATGACGCTATATGTGGAGGTGGGGTCAGAGCAGGGAAATGGTGGCACCCTCCACTGCCGCTCGCCACGGGGACCCGCCAGACCCGGTACAACCACCCACTCCCTTGCCTGTCCACCCACACACAAATGCGCGACCACAGTCAACACGCAGCACTGCTCCCCCACTGTCTCCCCCGAGGTCGCTCGCCTGGTCACTCGCTCAGTCGCTCACTAGGTCCAACCCTGCGCCTGGGTTCCGCGCGCCTGAGTCCCAAGCGCCTGAGTCCGTCTGACCCAGTTTTCCTGTGCAACCCTGCTCCACCAGCCGCTGGTTTCGCCCCTTACCGGTCAGGCTGAAGAATTTGTTAACGGACTTCCGAAAAGTTCAATTTTCCGTGTTCTGGCTGTGTTTTCTGTTGCTAATATTTAGTTGTCTCTAAACTTGGTTGTGTGAGAAGGCAAGGCATATCCACCTATGCCTCCATCTTGGCGGAAGTCCACCTTCACTTAATTCTTGTAACAGATTCATGAAATGGTTGCTAATGAGGAAATCAAGGCAAGATCTGAACCTGTCTAATTAATCAAAATAATCAAGTTTTGTTTAGACCACATTTCATTAAGCAACAACCTTAATACTGTCCCACAAATAATAATGTACGTTTTTGACTACATGAAACAATCTAATGCAAATGGCTTTAATATTCAGGAGGCCTCATTCTGACTTAACCCAAAACTTCCTTTCTGAGAGACCACCAAGGAACTTACCTGAAATTAATTTATCCCTTGAATTGCTAATATTTTCCAGAAGAAAAACTTTAAATAGTCTGCAGTACCATCATATACATTTTTGCACCTTCTAAACTGTGAGCCATGTAGGTGTATTCTGCTTATTTCTTTAATTTAAATATTAAAAACAATATAAAATAGAGCCCTGGCTGGTGTAGCTCAGTGGATTGAGCACCGGCCTGCGAACCAGACAACCGCGGTTTGATTCCCAGTCAGGGCACATGCCTGGGTTGCAAGCCGGTTCCCTACAGGCCAGTTCCCAGCAGGGGACGCACAAAGGCAACCATACATTGATGTTTCTCTCCCTCTCTCCTTCCCTTCCCCTCTAAAGATAAATAAATCAAATCTTAAGAAAATAAAAATAATTTTAAAAGTCATTAAAAAAAACAAAATAAAATAAATTTGAATATTACAATTTCTTCAGCCCTGGCTGGTGTGGCTCAGTTGGTTGGAATGTCATCCCATAAACCGAAAGGTAGTGGGTTCCGTCCCGGTCAGGGCACACACAAGAGGCACCGATCGATGTTTCCCTCCCTCTCACCCCCTTGACCTCTCTTTAAAATCAATCAGCGCATCCTCCGGCAATCCCCCCCAGCAGTGCTAGCTCCTTATATATTCTTCCAAGGATAGTCAGAGTCTTCGGGGGACCAGCACACAAAGGCCAGATCTCCGAGCCCCATCTCAAGGTCACTAAGGGAGGAGCGACTCACCGCTGCCTGAGGCCAGTCAGCCCTGCTCAGTGAACACACAGAGGGCTTCTCGCCAGGGACTGCCCAATACTGATTATATTCTACATCATTCTCTCCCATGTGTTGACGTATCTGCAATCTAAAATGGCCCATCACCCATTTCCTGACTCATTGTCCTGTAGGAATTTTTCTTGATGACCAAAATGACCTTCATCCTCACTACCCAACATACTGATTTCCCTGGTAATACCACCTGAAATGCTTCACCGGGTAACTAGCTTGTTAGCTCTCCCTCCCCACGGATTTTAAGCTCCTTGAAGGCAGGCGCTTCACTTCACTGAAGGCTGATCTTCAGCACGTCCGGTATCGCTGGTGCTTAATAAACATGTGCCTAATTTTTTTTAATCTTAAAAAAAAAAAAACAAAGGAGCCCTGACCGGTGTGGCTCAGTGGATTGAGCGCTGGCCTGCAAACTGAAAGGTCGCCAATTTGATTCCCGGTCAGGGCACATGCCTGGGTTGTGGGCCAGGTGCCTGGTTGGGGGCGTGTGAGAGGCAACCAACTAAAGTTTCTCTCACATATGGATGTTTCTCTCCCTCTTTCACCCTCTTTTCCCCTTTCTCTTCTCTAAAAATAAATAAAGTCTTAAAAACACAAAGAAACCACTCTGCACTTGTAATCCCAAAGGAAGCAAGCAGAGGACGACAACTGTCTTGTCTGTCCCTGGGGCATTTCCAGCCTAACAGACCCGGCCTCCTCTCCCCGAAATGCTGTGGCCCGATGGTGCTCAGCCCCAGGCGGAATCACCCCCGAGGGGCATTTGAAAATGCATGGCGGTGTTTCTGGTTGTCACAATGACCAAGGAGTCCCCATTTAGAGGGTAGGGGCCTGGGAGGCTAAATATCCAGCAAAGCAAGGAAGCACTGCCCACCCAGACCACCCACAGGCCACATCGGGTGCCCTGCCCCTCCTGCCTCCTGACACTGTCGAGGAGGGCAGACCCCACCTTTCCCACGCAGTTCCTCTGTGTGCCGCTGCAAAGGAGGCCGAGGTCTGGGCAGCCAGCTGCTTGTCAGCGCTGAGTCCCCAACTCACGCAGGCCCATCGGTCTCACCAGCCCGGCTTTCATGAAGCCAGGCACTTCTCTCACAGCTGCCCCCACATCGACCCCCTCTGAGTGGTCGTCTATTTTCTGGCTTGAGACAAAGCCCTGCAAATGAAATTCCAGCCTGGCCCTGGAAATCTTGACAGAGTGGTCCATGATTTTAAAGACAGCAATAACAATACTAAGGCTTAAGAACCCCAGCTGAGGTCTACTGGGCAGGCGTAAGAAGCAGGCTCTAGGGAACTGTAGTCAGGGTCCTTGGGGGCCAGACTGCAGAGAGCAGGAAGGGGAAAAGGGCAAAAGAAAGAGCTTGCTTTAAAAAACAGATGGACAGACAACAAGACAGTGGCAGAGAGAGAAATGCTTTCAGTTTGAGAAACAAAAATGCTCTCCGTCTCCAGCCAGGTGTGCCCATGTGCTGACCCTGCTGCACAGCGAGGACCCCTGCCCCCAGCTCCCCCAGGTCCACACAGCTCGGGTTGGAGCAACCAGCAGTCCATCCAGGTCCAAGGTCTAGGTGTACTCACACAGCAGCTGCCAAGTGACCGCGTAACTGCAGGAATGTCCTAAGCCGGACTGGCCTATGTCCTTTTCGAGGAAGAATATGATTCGATTCAGCAAGTACTTTTTTGAGAAGCACTTTTTCAGAGCAGCAAGTGTGTGGACTCCGGCATTAACCACCGAGTGGCTGTGGCTACGCTGTCCCACCCCTCTGAGCCTCAGCTTCTCATCCACGGGCAAAATGGGAATAACGCCAGCCCCTGCCATTCAGGATGAGATGCGGTGAGAGAATTCACAGTGTCACTGCTCTGCTCCAAAGCCACCGACAGACTGCTGCTCTGTGGTGGAGTAAAAGGGACCAGACCCCCCCGTCCCGCTGCAGACAACTAGAGGACCCAATAAAGTGAATGGCACCACTCTCTGCAGACCCCGGGCAGCGGGCAGCACAGGGCTGTGATTCCTGGTAGGACGTAAACAAATAACTGGAGCCCCAAGGTCACTGGCGTCTGCCAGGAGGCACATTTCAGGTGGGGGCAGAGGGTTGTCCCATCAGCACAGCAGTCTCGCTGGGCCGAGGAAACAGGCTGGAGCTCGAACAGGACATGAAAGAATGGAAATGACGAGAAGTGAACACCCACCAAAGCACAGCTCAACACTCTGCACGGACTGCAAAACCCAGATGCTCAACCACACGCAGAATTCATAGCCTCCAGCCAAAAATCTCAACGTAGGTCAAGAATCGGGAAGGTGTGACCCATAATAATAATGAGAAAAATCAGAAAAAATAATTAGCAGACAAAAACATTAAGACGGGTGTTATAACTATTCAAGAATTTACCTCAGAAACAAATATCAAATCATTATATTGTATACCTGAAACTAATATAATGTTGGATGTCAATTATAGCTCAATTTTTAAAAAAATATTTTAGCCCCGGCCAGGTGGCTCAGTGGGGGTTAGAGCCACGGGCCGTGCATCAGACGGTTGTGGGTGTGACCCCCCATCAGGGCACCGGCCTGGGCTGTGGCTGGATCCCCGGTTGGGGCGTGTGGGGGAGACAACCGGTGGACATCTGTCTGTCTGTCTCTCCTCTGCCCCCCTAACCCCTTCCCCTCTAAAAAGCAATAAACATACGCTTGGGTGAAGATAAAAATAAAATAAAATAAACACTGTTTAAAACAAAAAAGAATTTAGAAGAAAACATGATCACAGTAAGGAAAAACACGTACGGTACAGAAAGAAAGAACACACTCGGCAGCAGCCCCGGAGCTGAGCGACTCCTCGCCAAGGCGCCCAGCGCCCGCTTCCTCTGCACGCGCACCCGCATCCGACAAACCTGCCTCGGCGGGCCTCAGAAATTCAGTGACTCGGCCGGAAGACAGAAACGCAGAGAAAATTCCACTGCCTTCCAAAGCAATGCCCGTCCTGGAGAAGCGGGCAGGCGTGCTCCAACGCGTGCTGCACCTGCCGTGAGCCTCGCCTGCGCGCTTTACTCCATTTGGCTGTTCAACTTTGGAAGACGCAGAGAGGCCGGAGGAGTTTGAACGACTGTGCTGCCCCTTCTCACATCGGAGGGCCGACGGCGGAGGCCGCCCCCGCCTCTCCCATCTGCCGGTCCGGCCCGGCTGGCAGGGAGGGAAGAGAACGCGCCTGCTGGTGAAGGAAGAAGCTGGGTGGGCCGGCACCGAACCCTGGAGTAGAAACCAGGCTGGTCCACGGGGGCCTGCGGGCTTTAACCTGCGTGGTTTAACCAGCGTGCCATTTCTTTTTTGTTCATGTTATTTTAATGAATTGGAATGTTTGATTTTTAGTAGGTAAATAAAAAGTTTTCAAACCAAAAAAAATTGGAACTTCCAGTGATGAAAAACATAATATCTGAAATAAAAATTTCACTGATGAAGGGCAACAGACTAGATACCTCACAAGAAAACGTTAAGTGCATCTGAAGACGTGGCCGCAACAACAGACCGACGTGGAGACCAGTGGAGGAAAAAGAGGCTAAAAGGACTTTTTTTGGAAGAAATAATAACTGAAAAATGTCCAAGTTTGATGAAAATTACAAACTCACAGATCCAAGAAGTTCAACAAACTCCCAGCAGGGCAAACAAAAGCATGCTAAAGCACATCATAATCAAATAGCTAAAAACCCATGAAAAAGAGGAAAAAAATATTGACAGCCAGGAAACAAAGAAAAACATTACCTACAGATATCAAGATTAAAAGTTACTTCACACTTCTGATCGCAAACTATGCAAGCCAAAAAATAAAATGGAATAGTATCATTAAAATGCCAGAAGAAAAAAATGTCAACTTAGAATTCTATATCCAGTGACAATGTCTTTCAAAAATAAATACAAAATTAATATGTTTTCAGAAAGGAAAAAAAAGGTCTGACTGGCGTGGCTCAGTGAGTTGGGCACCAGCCTGTGAAACAAAAGGTCACCAGTTCGATTCCCTATCAGGGCACATGTGTGAGTTGTGGGCCGGGTCCCCAGTACGGGGTGTGCGAGAAGCAACTAATCCATGTCTCTCATGTACATTGATGTTTCTCTCCCTCTCTCCCTCTCTTGCCCTCTCTACAATAAATAATTCTTCTAAAAGAAAGGAAAAAAAAGCTGGAAGAATTTGTCAACGGTACGCTTATACCACAAAAAAAAATGTGAAAAGAAATTCTTAAAGCAGAAGGAGAAAGGAAAATACCAGATGGAAAACTGGTCTACACAAAAGAATAATGTCACAGATTGTAAACGTGCTGGTAAATATAAAGATACTTTAGATATATATTTCTATCTTAAAAAGATAACTTTACAATGTACAAAGATAACTTTACAAGGTTTATGACGTATGTGGAAGTAAAATCAGTAGTGCTAATAATGTGGTGGGGGGAGGGGGGCTAGAAGCAATACTATTATCAGGTTCTTACACGTTATTGGCAGAGGGTCATTTGAAAGTAGTCTGTGGTAACTCAAAGTAACATGTTATAAACCGTAGAGCAATTACTATCACTAATAAACAAAAAAACAACCAAAAAAGTAGAGGTACAGCTAAACCAACAGTAGAGATCAAATAAAATCCTAAAAACATTCTATCCAAAAGACAAAAATAGGGAACAAAAATCAAATTTAAAAAACTGCCAGATGCCCTGGCTGGTAGCTCAGTGGATAGAGCGCAGGCCTGTGAACCAAACAACCGTGGTTCGATTCCCAGTCAGGGCACATGCCTGCACCTGGGTTGCAGGCCAGTTCCCAGTGGGGGACCCACAAGAGGCAACCACACATTGATTATTTCTCTCCCTCTCTCCTTCCCTTCCCCTCTAAAGATAAATAAATAAATAGAATCTTAAAAAAAAAAAAACTGCAAGATGGCGGGCTTAAATCCATCCATAAATGAAACACTCTAATTAGAAGGCAGAGATGATCGGATTGGATGGGGGAGGGGGGAGCAAGACCTAGCTGCATGCTGTCTGGGAAAAACCCACTTTAAAGAAAAAGACACACAGGTGAAAAGCCAAAGCTCAAGAAATGTCGTCCCACGCAGACACGAATCGCAGACACGAATCGTAAGAAAGCGGGAGTGGCAGCATGAACCTCAGACTACTTCAAAGTCACAGTCAGTGCCAGTGCTAAACAAGGACATTTCAAAAACAAGGGAGTCGATCGGGAAGACAGAACAATCCTTGTAAGTATGCACACGATAACAGAGTTTCAAAATACAGGGAGTTTAGACAAATCCACAGTTACAGCTGGAGACATTGATGATATCCTCTCTCCTTAGTCAGAAAGTCAGTAAGTGTCCGGAAGGGTTAGATAACACCATCTCCCAACATAGCCTGACGTTTCCAGAGCGCTCCGACAACAGCAGAATAAATATACTTCATGTTCGAGTTCGTAAGGAAAACTCACCGAGACAGACCACAAAACAAATTTCAAAAGGGAAAGATGTGAAAAAGTCAGAGTATGACCTCTGACCACAACGGAATTAAACTAGAAATCAGTAACACAAAAAAACCTGGAAAACTCCCAAATATTTGGTAATTAAACAACAGACTTCTGAATAAGTTATGGGCCAAAGAAGAAAATACTGGGGAACTGAGAAAATATTCTGAACTACATGAAAATGAAAACTGTATCTAAATTGCGGATTGCAACTAAAGCAGTACTTAGAGGAAACTTTACTGTTTTCAGTACTAACCTTAATTTTTTTCAAATTTGTTTATTTTTAAAGATTTTACGTATTTACAATTAGAGAGGGGAAAGGAGGGAGAAAGAGCAGGAGATAAGCATCCATGTAACAGAGATGAGGGACCGGGCCTGCAACCCAGGCATGTGCACTGACTGGGAATCGAACCAGTGACCCTTTGGTTCTCAGGCCGGCACTCAATCCAGTGAGCCACACCAGCCAGGGCTCAGTACTAACTTTAGAGACCAGGATAGAAAAATAAGGGCAAAAGAAACCCAAAGTAAATAGAAGGAAAGAAAGAAATAATATAAAAATTACAAATAGAGAAAAATCAAATAAGAGCTGGTTTTTCAAAGACACTAATTTCCAACATTAGAAATGAAAAAGGGGAAATCACTGTATTTCTACAGATTTAAAAGATTAGTAAATGACTAATTACTGAACCTTTAAAACAAACTTGACAACTAAAATAATATGAACAAATTCTGTGAGACACAACATACCAAACCAATATTAGAAAACAGAAATTTAATACCCTTATATCTACTTTAAAATATAAATTAGCCCTGACTGGTGTGGTTCAGTGAATTGAGCACCAGCCTACAAACCAAAGGATCGATTCCCAGTCAAGGCACAAACCTGGGTTGCAGACCAGGTCCCCAGTAGGAGACACATGAGAGGCAACCACACATCAATGTTTCTCCCCCTCTCTTTCTCCCTCCTTTCCCCTCTCTGTAAAAGTAAATAAATAAAGTCTTTTTTAAAAAAAGAAAATACATAATTAAGTAACTTAAAATAAAAAGACTATAAATCAATATCCCTCATAAACGTAAACATAAATATAAAAATCCTTAACAAAATATCGACAAACCAAATCCAGCAATATATAAAAAGGATAATACATTATGACCAAGTGGAACTTTCCCAATAAATACAAGATTGGTTTAACATTTGACAAATCAATCAACATAAATCACCCAGATTAACAGAATAGCAGAGGAAACAGTAAGATCAACGCAACAGAAAGCACAAAGAAAACCTGACGACACTCAGCCAATTACAAATAGAAGTTGAGCCCTGGCGGTGTGGCTCAGTTGTTTGTAGCGTAGTCCCACAGACCAAGAGATCACAAGTTCGATTCTCAGTCAGGGCACATACA